TTACTTCTTATTTTAAAATGAGTCATTTATTATAAGAAAGATGAGGGCTGGAACTGCAAATGGAATGAATACCAAACATGTAATCCCTTTCCCAGTAACTATCTATGGGGCCCACTCCACCTTGGATTAAGCATTACACCAGTTTTCTTTAGTAAGGTCTCTGAGGAATGGTGATGATTTGCTCTAGTGGAACATTTCCAGCACCACACTTGCATCTACATTGCCCCACTCCTCATTTTGGTTCCAGTCCTGGATTGGGTACATTAGTAAAATATTTCCTAATGTGACTAATCATTAGTAAAATGAGTGCTTCCCAGATTTATGCTTAGCAACATGCTTCTCTGCGTAGTTGACCTATAATGCTTCTTGTAGGCTGTGCAACTCATATCATTGGGACCCAATAGAGCAATGGAGACTTCTCCCCACCTTTCCAGGCATATACATGGAGGAGGATCATAGCCTCCCAAGGCTTGGTCTTCCCTCCTAGGAGACAGGACTTGTAAAAGTCTGGCTAGTGATTTTATTTCATTTCCTTAAAGTGGGCTGTATAAGTGAGGGTAGTTGAATGTTTTAGAGAGTTGGTTATCAGCCCAATCCTTTTCTGGGGAAAAGTTAGTATCAGAATTTTTTGAGTCTGTGACAGTCTTTCAATTTCTGTCCTATTTCCAACAGCTCTCTCTGGGCAGCAACTGTGTGGCAACATCCTTGTGTGAGAAAGAGTAGCAGGTAGTTAGGTCCATAAGGGTCCTCCTCACAGAGTCACCATGTCCACTTCAGAGACAAGCTGAGCACTCTGAGAGAGGATGGGTGGGTGTACACTGTGCTCAAACTGTGGGAATTTTATGTTCACCCAAAAGAACGTAAGTTTAAAAATTTAGTTCAACTTAAAGGGGACTAATAACAATTAGTTTAAGACTACTCTCTGTGTGGCATGGCCAACTCTCCCTGAGGACAGGAAAGAATCAGACAGCAGAGGTTTAAAGACCCTAGGTGGGGAGAGAGAGAGGCAGAGCCACCCATAAGAATGAGACTCCCACTGGGCGTTGGATGGATTTCCATTCACCTGAAGCCTCAGAGAGATACTACACTTCAACTCTGCTGAATCTGTGTCCTTATTCTTTCCACCTCCTATGCTGGAAGGCTGTCTGTGAGTCAGAATGTTCTTGATAATGAAGTTAGTTCATGTGTGTGCACTGGCAGACACCCCTCAAATGTGTATGCACTCCCCGACACCCTCCTACCAGGCTATGAAATGATCCATAGTAAAAGGTAGAAGGGGACATCTTGGAGACATGGAACTTATTTTTAAAATAAGGCTTAGTGTCCTTCCTCCCATTCTGTAGGTTGTTTTCATCATTTGTGTATCCTCAATGTTCAATGCTTTTCTTTTTTAAATGAATGTAAACTCTTTAAAAATCTACTCTGAATAGAAGAATAAGTCATGAGAATTGGAGTCAACATTTATTCAACAAATGCTGCCTGTCAGAGTTTTCTTCCCCAGAGAGAGAGAATTGGCCTTGAACTTGCCTGTCCATACAACTTTCCTTCCAACGAGCAGCTGGCTACCTCTCCCTCTCCATCCTGCCTACCCTAACTGAGAATAGTAGGACATAGCCAAGCAAAGGGAATCCATTTGTCTTTCACTCAACACACAGATACTTTTCTCAGTTCCAGACCCAAAAGGAGAAAATCCAGACAGTGAATGATCAAAGGAGAGCCAAGGACATGTTAACTGGCCTTTTCCCAAACCTGTAATTTCAAGTTACCTGAATCTTCACTATGGGTGGTATCCATCCCCTCTGTTTAACTCTGCCTCCAGGGAAAAGCTTTTAATTTTTTGGAAACTGTGAGTATGAATGAGTTCCCAGAAACCTTTTGATTAGTAAATCAGAGCAAGCAGAACTTCAAATAAACAAACAAGCTCAGAAAAACATTCCATTTCCAAGTGATTGAGGGCAGAGAGCCCCAGGGACGGCTTGGTCTCTGTACCGTCCTTGGTTGAAAACAGGGAGGAGGTAGCGTGTTATTTGTGTGATCTAAGAGAACAGAATGAAGTACCTTTAGTTCCATTCTCACTAGAAGCAGCCAAACACACTTGTAAATTAGTGTGTAAGCCATTGAGGGTAGATGAAAAGACGTTTTCTAAAACAGGTCTATTACAGAGAGGAAAAAACAATCTATCAAAGAGAATGAACATAACACATGGGAAAAGTAAAAAAATGGGCCGTAGGTTACAAGAGGACAGTATGATCCGATGTACAGTCCAGGTCCCTGTGGGCTGTTTAAAGTGATTCTTGAGTCTGACACTTAATTCGGCTGGTATTGACTTTTCTTAGAAGCATCAGTATAATTTCCTTTTTTGCTTCTGGATCTGGGAACATGAGACACTTTGGTCAGCCTTAAACCTCTAATTGCACTTCTCATTTTAAATCAATTAAAAAAATAAACTAGGCTAGACAGAGGGCCCCCAAACAAACAAATAAAAATTGATCATCTGTTTAAAAGGCGGAATCAGCTTAGGCGTGGAAGCCAAACTTACAACAAGTTTATTTCCTTCTTTTATGGTGATCCAGTCTTCCCCGTTGGAGCTAATGTCTATTCTGTAAGACTTGACGTAGTATTTCTTCCTGGTTTCCTTTGAAATGGCTCCCTGTGTCCCAACGGCTGTGACAAAGCGCAGAAGGCCCAAGTCTACCTGCAAGACAATTAAAAATGGGATGACAGTGTGGTCAGTTGGGTATCCTTGCATGACCATCAACTGGAGTATCTTTGCCTGCAGTCTCCACAATGTAGTTTTCAACCACCAGGGATCAACAGGTGCCAATTTCATACAGTATCAACAGCTGCCCCCTCCCGCCCCCCTCCATTACCTTCCCTTCCTCGGGTTTCTGCCGTTAGAAGGAAGGCCAAGAAAAAACCTTTCTCATTACTTTGAGCAAGATTATCTGATCTCTGCTTATTCAATCGGAATGCGGACCAAACAGTCTCAGAAACTTATTATATGAAGAAGAACATGGCATCAGGATTTCAGGAAGACTCATTAACAATCTTCAACACGCAAGTGATACAACTTGCTTGCTGAAGCAGAGGATTTAAAATATTTGTTGATGAAGATCAAAGACTATAGCCTTCAGTATGGATTGCACCGTAATATAACGGGAAAAAACAAAACAAAACAAAACAACCCACACAAAGGAACCAGTAGATAACATTATGATAAATGGAGAAAAAAATAGAAGCTGTCAAAGACTTCATTTTGCTTGAATTCATAATCAATGTTAATGGAAACAGCAGTCAAGAAATCAAACAACATGTTGCATTAAGCAAATCTTCCGTAAAAGATCTCTTGAAAGTGTTACAGAGCAATAATATCCATTTGAGGACTAAGGTGAACCTAACCCACGCCACGGTACTTTCAATCTCCTCATATGATGTGAAAGTTGGACCACGAATAAGGAACTGTATAAGAATCGATACTTTTGAATTAAGGTGTTGGAGACGAATATTAAAAGTACCATGGACAAGAAGAACAAACAAGTCTGTCTTAGAAGAATTATGGCAGAATGCTCCTTAAAAGCCAAGATGGCTACACTTCGTTTCTCATTCTTCAGATATCATATCAGGTGGGACCGGTCCCTGGAGAAGGACTTCATGCTTGGTAAAATGGAGGGTCAGCAAAAAAGAGGAAGACCCTCAATGAGATGGACTGACACAGTGGCAGCACCATTGGACTCAAATGTCACAATAACTGTGAAGACGGCGCAGTCCTAGGTGGTGTTTCCTTCTGTACAGCATCTAACAAGAGCAGTATTCAGCATCCTGCTGTTTTTATTAGGTGTCATGGAATCTGCTTGAATTCATAGTGACCTTCGGAATAAAAAATGAAATACAATCTGGTCCTGTGTCACTGTGGTAAGTGAGACTGCACCCTGTCAAAGGTGTTAAACTCGTCAGACCTAGAAAAATTAAGCCGTGTGGTTCTCACAGGTTCCACTGTATGTAGTAAATATTTCTTAAAGTACACAGCTTGCAATGAGATATTATGACCAGTTAACATTGACAAGATATTTCAACAGTACATTTATCATTAAGTGGCAATGGAATACCATTTCCTCAGAAAACAGAAAGAAAACCAAAACAAATCCCCCTAAACCAAACCACAAGTTTGAATTGTGCTTTCTAGTTACTACAACATGACAACTCAATTTCAGAATATTTCAAGGAACTCTGTGATGCCTGTAAGACATGTACTCCCAGAGAATGCTCTATGCACAGTCGGCTTCATGAACAACACAATCATCTCCCATGAAGTGTCTTTTCCCGAAGGCCTTTGGAAGTCTCCTCAACACTGAACCAAGAGTCACATCTGGGGAGAGCTGGCTACTTCAATATGCCCTGCCCACAGAAGCTGATTCAAAGTTAAAACAATTCCACAGCTGGGGACTTCACTCAGAAAGGGAACACGAGTGCCATTGTGTGCACAAATGAGAAACCACCCTGTTGCCATGGAGTCGATTCCGAGTCACCAAGCCTCATGTGTGTCAGAATGGAACTGCTCTGTAGGATTTCTTGGCTGTGTCATTTTTATGGAAGTAGCTATCCAGGCCTTTCTTCCACTTTTCTACTGAGTATGTTCAAACTGCCAACCTTTCAGTTAGTAGCCAAAAGCAAACTGCTTCATCACCCAGGGTCTTTCCATTCAACGGAAATCAATTTTTCTTTTATTTAAATAAAAATGCCAAGTCTGTGGTCTGTAGGAGCCATGTGGCATAGTGCCCAGCTGCAAACTGAAAGATTGGTGCGGAGAACGCCGTGGCAGTCCGCTTCCTAAAAGACGACAGCCTTGGAAACCATATTGGTCAGCTCTACTTTGTCCTAGGGAGCTCTGGTAGCGTAGTGGTTACGAATCGGGCTGTGAACTTCAGGGTCAGCAGTTCGAAACTACCAGCTGTTCCACGGGAGAAAGATGAGGCTTTCTGCTCCCGTAAGGATTTACAGCCTCAGAAACCCTGTGCAGGGTTGCTATACGTCAGAATCGACTCCATGGCACACCCCCACTACCGTAAAGATTTACAGCCTCGGAAACCCTGTGCAGGGTCTCTATGAGTCGGCACATAACAACAACAACAGGTCAGAAAGAAGTTAGCTGATGGGCAGCTTGAAGAATCCCAGGCATTAGAAACAGCTGACTTCAGAGGAGGGAGCAATTGACAGTAGTTAGCTAGTACCCAACAAAGGAAAAGTCCAAGTTCTCTGTTATGAAGGCCCCCAAAGCGTATGCATGTATCATTCATAAAAGAGAAATTTTCTTTTCTGAACAGCAATGAAATGCACTAGCAAGCTCCCCTTGTAATTGCATAAAGTCTCCTGCTGTGCTTTTAAAACTCTGCAGATTTTCTTATTTACCACACTGGGATACTTGGAATTTCATTTCATTTTTCCTTCTAATATTACTGCCACTGCATTCAATAAGGATGAACGACAACCTCACAAAATGATTAGGGATGGGACCTGAACCGTTGCAATTAAAATCGGATGGGACCCAGAGCTCTAACAAGATACAGCCCCCCACAGCACTGTGGGGACTCTCATTGGCAAAACCGTGAAGCTCTTTCCATAAGTCCTTCTCCCTAGGTGCCTTTTGATGAATTCTCAAACTGGGACAGGGGCCTTCCAGAGCCTGAGGAGTTTGAGAGGAGACAGGCACTCTCCCCACGCAGGAGCACCAGAGCTGACACCACTGGTTTGTGTTGAAAAGACACTGCTGGCCAGATTTAGTGCTGGGGTGTTTACCCTTTTCTAGATAGTGGTGTTGTCTTCTACTGATCCTGAGGCCTATGCCTCAATCTACATTCCGAATCTCACTTCCGGCATCTCATAGTCACATTAGAATACTTGTGATTCCTAGCCTTTTCCCATCTGTGTGCCTTACTTGGAAAGGACTTTTTCCCCTTTTCTGACTATAAAGGACTTTTTCTTCTTTTGACCTGGTTGGCAAAACTCTACCTACCTCAGTGCTCGCTGAATTTATTACATGTTTTTTTGCTATACCTCTTTCTAGACTTTTATAATTTCCTTCAAGAAGCATCTTCTTTTTCCTTTTTTCTATATAGAATGTAACAGACTCCTATTGAAATTTTTAAAGATACAGAACAAGTTAAGAAAATAAAATTTCTATTACCATTAGAAAACAACCATCAATAATACACTCTATACAAACATATTGGTGGTTCAAACTCACCAGCAATTTCTCAGAAACCCTACATAGGGTCGCTAACAGTTGAAACCTACTTGACAATATGTAATAACAACAACTTGTGTATATGCTTTGTTAATATTAAACTGATGTCATATATTACTCTGATAAACTGATTTTTCATTGAGTTTTATGGATATACCTCAAAATATCTGCCTATATATATATTTTTAAAGTTCTTATTGTGAATTGAGTGAAAGTTTGCAGAGCAGATTATCAGATTTCCATTCAACAAATCATATACTTTGTTTCATTTCAGTGATTGCAATCCCCTCCATGGAACATCACTTAACCCACTTCCTCCCTACGATTCTTATTTCCATTCCACCTTCCTTCCCAATGCTTCTGAATTTTGTCCTTAGATAAATGCTGCCCTTTCCATCTTGAATGACCATTCCATGGGGTGCACACCTCACTAGTCTTGTTGTCCCCCTATATATTCTACTATTTGACTGAAAACTGAGCCACAAGAGTAAGTTCAGTTCCAGACTGAAGGGTGATCAAGGGTCACAGTCTCAGGTTATTCCAGTCTCCCTCTGAACAGTAAGTCTGTCTTTTTTGTAAACTTTTAGTTTTGGTCCATATTTTCTTCGACTCATCGAGGAATTTCAAATGTGATCCCTTTCAGAAGAGTTGCTTATGGTAGCTAAGTACCATCTAGTTCTTTAAGGTCTTAGGGTGGTAGTGACCGATGCTAACATGTTACATTAGTCCATTAGCCTAACTGCTGACCAGTGTCTTCCATGTTCATCACTCTTCTTTGCCTCCACACTGGGAGAGACCATTACTTACACCTTACAGGGCCGCTCATGAGCTTTTAAGATTCCAGTCACTACTCACAAAAGTGTTATTGTTGTTGTTGTTAAGTGCTGTCGAGTCGGATCCGACCCATAGCGACCCTATACAGGGATTCCAAGGAGCGACTGGTGAGCTTGAACCGCTGACCTTGCAGTTCAAACAGCTTTGCAGTCTGGCATATTAACCCACAGAGCCACACCAGGATTCCTGGAAACTCTATAGAGGGTCGTTATGAGTTGGAATTGACTTGACAGCACTTAATAGCCACAACAAACTCACAAAAGTAAGACTGCCTCACCATTTTTAATGGCTTCATGTTATCCCATTATATGGTGGCCCCATTATCTATTTATTTAGTCTGCTACCTGTGAACATTTAGGTATTAGATTGCAATTGATCAACTGAATGGGCATTCACTCAGTGGACACTTATCTGGATACCTTTTATCTACTAAGGTCTTTATGAAATGAGTACAGTATAGAGAACAGTGAGCACGGAGGACTAAGGTGTTGGCAGTTCACTGGTAGAATTCTCAGCCCCACTTGTCGGCCAGTGAAGGCTTGTCTGCTGCTATGACGATGAACAGCTTTCAATGGAGCTTCCAGACTAACAGGAACTAGGAAGAAAGGCCTGGCTATCAA